TTCCTTATTCCTCAGAACTCTTGCATGGTAAATTTTATTATCCATATTTAAAAGATGAGGAACCTTTGACAGAGAAGTTAAGTACCTTCCTCAAGGTCAAATAGTTATTAAGTAGCAGAGATTTAAATTCAGCCTTTCTGGTTTCAGAGCCCTATCCTGTACTTCCTTTTCTGTTAAGTAATAAAAGTACAGGTTTTGGAGTTAACTTACTAGGGTGGATTTGAGTTAATTTCTTAACCTCTGACATTTTCTTCCTCTGTGTGGTACAATTATATCTACCTTAGAGAGGTGATGTGACAATGGCTAAGAGCTATGAGATAATAGAAAATACATATATGTTGGTCTGTGCTCTCAGAGCTTCTAAAACCCTTGTAAATTCCTCCCTAGAGTACTAAGACCATCGTTTGTTCTAATGAGGGGACTCAGCGTGGGTGCCTGGAGAGCTGCTGGATAAGCGCTGGTCACCAGAAAGAACAAACCATGATTAGAAGCTTGGAATTTTGGCTTCAATCCCCATTCTCTAGAGAGGAAAGGGGCTGGAAATAAAGTTAATGACTGACTTTGCCTGTGTTAGGAAGTCTCCCTAAGGTCCCATAATACAGGATTTGGAGAGCTTCCAGATTGGTAAACATGTCCACACTGGGAGGGTGATGCGCACCAACTCCACAGGGACAGAGCCTTCTGCACTGGGACCCTCTCAGACCTTGCCCTGTATAATTATTCATCTGAAAGTTCATCTGTATCCTTTATCATATCCTTTAAAAAAATGGCAAACAAATGTGCCCATGCATTGCCTGAGTCGCTCTAGCAAATGACTCAAACCTGAGGAGGCGGTGATGGGAACCTAAGCATCACTGCCAATTGGTAAGATGTACAGGTGCCAATCTGGACTAACTACAGATAGTGTCAAATTGAGTTAAGTTCTAGAACACCTAGCTGGTGTGAACTACTTGGTGGGGAAAAAACCCACACACACCTGGTGTCAGCTATGCTGTAATGGTTTTTTTCCAATTCAAGGACAGACTAGACTACCCAAATTCCTAACCCAGCTCTATCACTGACATTGGGCAATTATTTGATCTCTCTGTAACTCAGTTTTTTCCTCTAAACTGGGGCATCAGTAGTAGTACCTATGTCGTAGAGTTATGAGGACTGAGTGAATGTTTCTAAGGCATTAGAAACAGTAATCACCTAGTAAAGTGGTTATGGGAACACCTGGCATATAAGTGCTCAATGAATTGTAGCTAATAGTATTGTAATTTCTGTTTGTTGCAGGAACATAAAGAATAAAGTGTAGTAATGTCAAATATATGTCCTAAGTTAGGAAGAAGAGGGGAGCATTGCGTGAGCAAATGAAGGGATATAGAAAATCTGGGACAGGACAAAAAGGAAGAAAACGAAGTTAGAGAGGCTTAAGTATTTTATGTTCTGTGTCAAATCCCTGCCAGATGTATAAAATTATGGTGAGAAAAAAAATTCTTAAGAAAAATTTTACATTTAGGAAAGTGGAGAAATTGAGCCTGTTATATATTTCTCTGAATATATCAAATATTCTTTCAGAGAGCTCACAAGACTTGATTAATTCATCCTGGAATAGCTAGGATATAGATGGTGCTATGCTATCTTACAAATGTAAAAACTGACCTTGTCAGATGAGAACAGCAAAAGAAGTAACAATTTGCTGGATTTAATATTTACATCATCCAAATTTTATATTTAAACATTTAAAGATCACTGAGATGTGCCAGGTACTGTCCTAACATGAATAATAAATTGTGAACTATTCAATGTGATCATTTTTCACTGAGATTCACATTGTGAACTCTGCAGAATCTCATGGATAAAAGTTCCAGTGGAATAGATTACTGCTATTAGGCATCAGTACAAAGCAACAACCTGTTAGTTTTGTCCGCTTATAAGCTATGGGCAACTATTGAAAATAAAAAGTATAAAAATTAAAGTAGAAGAAAGTCTCAAGTTAGTGATTTAATGACTTACTCTGCCACTACCCAGCTGACTCGCTTTGGGCTAGCCAAAAATGTCAGCTTTGGAAGTGGACACATTGGTACAAAGAACAGGCACATTACAGTTACAACAATTAACTGCTTAGGATAGTACAGGACCTCACAAGAGGCGTGTACCTCTCTACATAAGGAGGGCAGAGAAACTTGTTTGAGTAGAATCTGTGTGAGTGTGGCAATATGAGGAATGCCAAACATGTTATAGCTAATTGAAAGTCAGCAAGGGTGAGGAAGATAATAATAGAAAGGTGGGGATGGGTTAGATCATGAAAGACCTCTGATTATATCCCAGAATAGGGAGAAGGCAACCAAGGTTTTTAAGAATCAGTGTGACATAATCAGACCAACCTTAAGAAAAGTAAATTACTCATTCTAGCTGGTATGAAATAATTGGAATTGAAATACATTAAAAAGGGAGGAAAACCAGCTAGGATTTTTTGCAATAATAGACAAGATGAAGAAGGATTGGACAAATTAAGGGACAGATTTGAGGGAAATTTAGAAGACAATTTGAAGAAGACTGCACAAGAATTGGAACAAACGGGTCATAGAAGTTCAGCAAAAGTGAACAACTAAAAGTTCAGCAATACTATTGAGATATTAAAACTACAGACAAAATATGAGCTCCTCTAGGGTTGGCTTCTTGAATCCTGCACAATATACACAAGGAACACAACTTCGCTGTTAGTATATCTTCATAAAAAAGTTATCAAACTATTACTCAAAATACTCTCGCGACGTTTGATTTTCTGTTTATAAGGTAACATTCACTATATATTACTTGCAAATACAGAAAAGTAGAAAAATGGAAAATCACATCCATATTTCTACCACCAAAAAAAAAACCGAACTGCTGTTGTCTGACCTAGACTAAGTATATTGCTTAAGATAAATATATTTCTTGAAGAGTGCATTGTACTCACTCTTCAAATAACTTTCTCCAAGTACCACAGAATGACAAAAAGTTCAAGAAAGCCATTATTTTGGAATCATAATAAGACTACATACTATACTAACAAAGAACAGCAACCCTTCCCAAGAGGTACCTTTAAGATTCCACAGCTCTAAGTTTATGTTGAAAGTACAATCCATGACATTGGTTTCTAACAAGTTTTGTAATATATTCTGTGTCTATCCTTAAGATCACCGAACGGTTTCAAAAACCATACAGAGATAACTAAAAATAAAATGCAGAAAAAGTTGAAAAGCACCTCTTGATTTATTTCACATGAAAATTAACAGTTTGATTCTTACAGGGGCTTGGATTGTTTTGCTAAAGCAGTAGGAAGATGCTTTATGCATTTTCAACACAGGGCAACATGTTTAGGCTTGTTCTTATAAATTGGCTTCTTTAAATGTGTGTAGAAGCTGAATCAACCCTTTATGTCACTAAAGTTCATGCAGAGCTGTGATTATTTTTGCTGATCCAATAGCTAAAAGCATTAAGAAACTAGGAACCTGGAGTACCATCCAGCTTTTTAAAAAATGCTCATAAATAGCTTTGCCTGTAATTTTAAAGGCCTCATTTTTCAGCTGATTTTCTGTATTCATTATACTGCCACTTAATTAATGACATAAAGCATAAATACTTTTTTAAAAGTAGAGAGGCACAAAAAAAGAACCATACATTGCAATTCCACACCACGTCAGTGTTCCTAGTATCTACAGATAATCTTGGGTAACTAGAGAGGAAAAAGCTGGCAATTTAGACTAAAGAGCATTTTATATTTCTTAACCTGGTGACTCCCTTGGCTAATCACTGGCCTTTCTCAAGAGCAGTGTGTGAGGATGTGGCTCTCTTCTGCTACAGTGGGACAAGCTTATATTCTCATCAGGATAATTCTTTACTAAAACTTCAAAACATCTCTATGAAGGACTGACAAGAATATAATGATACTTAGAAATTTCTGCATGCAAAAACAAGGTAAGAGATCCGGTTAAGGACGGATGTTAAAACCATGTAACACACTTGGAATCCATATATACATCTGGAAACCATGCAATACATCTGAAATGCTGAAGATATGATAAAAAATCTTTACTCTCAAGTTTGTCGTATTGTTGTAAATTATATGCTGTTTTGCCAAATGATAAAATATAGCTAGTAATAATTACCCTATGCCAGACACTGTTTTAAAGGCTTTATTTATAGTTCTTATTTAACCTCACAGCATCTCTATGAGTAAGTAATATAATCATTTTTACAGAAGAGGAAGCCAAGCTCAGAACACAAATAATTTGCACAAGAAGGCAATAGTGCTGGCATTAACAGGTCAGAGACATGCCGGGAACTGAAAAGCTACTAAGAATTTTTTTGACTACATTAAGTTACCTTCTTGTAAGCATCTCCTTTAAAAATACTTTTTAAAATACTTGGTGAAATGCAGTATTAGAAATATCATGGTAATTTCTTGTGATAATTTCAAGAGTGACTTTCAGAGAATAGTAACAATAAAAAGGTCTACTTTTCCTATCAGAGAAGTATAACTTCTCTACAGAGGGACAGACCAGAGAAAGGGAAAGCAGGTGGGCAAAATGTTACACAACAGTAATTTTAAGTTATGAGTCAACATGGATTCTATGCCAGCATTTTGCAACCCAAACACAACTAATGAGCTTGAAATACGGGGGGTACGTTCGTGGAATCCAGCGTGACTGGAAAAAATGTCTTCATTAGACTAAAAAGTGTTTAGGGAAACTACTGGATCAGTAATCACTGATTCAGCTGAATAGTTGAATAAAAAAAAAAAAGTAACAGGGGCCAATTACTAACGAGAAGCAGGCACTACGAAAGTGAAAACTGTCGACCAGTAAGTAATAAGACGCTAGTCATATAAATTCTAAGCTGTTTGGCTTAAAAAGCACTCATGCGCACCCGGAACACCGGAAAACCGGGGAGTTAAGGTCAAAGCAAGTACAAGATTTCTATACACGGCACATGACAGGGAACAAAAGAGCTGGTAGAAGGAAGGCACCCACCTCTGACTTCACACAAAAAAAGCTGATGAATCAAAACCGCGAATCAACGGTTAAAGTAGTAGTGTGTGAAAGGCAAACGGTACAGTTTAATACCCGCGGGGAGGGAGGTTCCTTTTTTAAATCAGCTTTCGCCTCTTCAATCCAGATCTTTGTGCCTCCGTGCTACCGTAAAGTTAGGCGGTTACACACCAAACACGCCGCGAGAGATTTCGCCAGGCCCCCCACTTTCCAAGCACTAGGGGGGGCACACACACCCTACCGCTCAAGGCGGCCGCGCCGGGGGCGGCCAAAACCAGGAGCCGGGCACCGCCTCCCCCGCAAGGGCGGGAGGCGGAAGGTAGGCAGGGGAAGAGCAGGACTCCGCCCCCTAGGGGAGCCGCCGCAGGCTGGGGGCCGGGCCGCGCCGGGAGGGGCGTGGAGAGGAGCCGGCCGGGAGGAGGCCGCGCCGTCGGGAGGGGCCTTCCCCCCCAAGCTGGCTCGCGCCCCGGCGGGGCGGGCAGAGGCCCGGCGGCAGAGCCCGGACGCCCGCTCGCAGCCCAGGAGAGAGGTGGCGGCGGTGGCGCGGACGGGACGAGGCGGCGGCTCCCCGCCCTGACTCTCCTCTCCCCCGCCCAGGCCCGGGCGCGAGTCGGAGGCGGCGGCTCGGGAAGGAGGCAGTATGGCTGAGACCTCGCCGCCGCCCACCGCCGGCGCGGAAAGTTGCAGTGAGGACCAGGCGAGGGGCGGGGAGCAGCGGCCGGAGGACGAGGCGGGGCCGCCTCTGGCCTCCCCAGCCGAGCAGTCGGAGCCGGGCTCGCCGGTGGCCGCCCCCTTCTTCCTGCTCTATCCGGGCGATGGAGGCGCCGGCTTTGCAGCGCGCCCGCCGTCGCAGCAGCGCACTTGGAGGACCCCGCCGTCGCCGGGCTCCCCGCTGCCCTTCCTGCTGCTGAGCTACCCCAGCGGCGGCGGCGGCGGCGGCGGCAGCAAGCACCGTGAGTGGCGTTGGGAAGGGGGCACTCGGCCGGGAAGGGCCGGCCCGGCCCCGCGGAGCTCCGCCTCCCGCTGGGTCCCCGGAGCGGGGTGCCGGCCTGCGGGGGCGCTGAGGAAGCCCCTGTTCCGGGGAGTTGGGGGGCGGCCGCGGCCTGGGACCAGATTGTTTACCTCCAAGTGTCCCCAGGCTGCGGGCTCCCGCCTGGCCCGGCCTCCCCAACCCTCCCGGGCCGAGCGCGCATCCTCGCCAGCCTCCCACGTGCTCCCCGGGTCCCGGCCGCGGGTCCCCGCTGGGAGCCTTGCTCCGGGCAGTGTGGGACGGGGCGGGGCCCAGAGACCCGGCAGCCCCGCCGGCCTGCCTTCTGCGGGCTCTGGGCGCCGCGGCCCCGAAGTAGGTGTGGCTGCTGTGCCGCCGCTTCCCGGGCGGCTCAATTGTACCACCACCTTTTTTACCAGCGTTCACTCCACATTTGTAAATTTCACAGATCTACTTCCCAAAATGTGTAGAGAAATCAGGAATGGTGTGTGAAATGACGGGAAGGGAATGTGTGGCTTTGGAAGGGCACCTCCCAGGATTATATCATTTGGCAGGAAGAAGCCTCCACCTTTTAAAACCACTGTCACGGGAGCTCTCTGAATGCAGCGGACCCCACTTTGTACTTTACCAGTCAACAAATGTTTATTGCTACTTGCAATGAGCGGGGCCCTACAGTAGGCAATGTGTATAAAAAGACTTATGGAGGAGTGTTAAATCTGGTTTAAAAAGACAAGATCTTACAGTATGAAAATGTGACAATGATGCCGGGGTTCTTGTTTGCGGAGCCGAAGAATGAGTTTCACAAACAGTCAAGGTAGGAGAGCAAGGTACAGGCTTTTATTTAGAGATACAATGAAAGGACAGAGCTCCCGGCTCATGCCAGGAGGGTACAAGAGAGTCCGTAGTGGTGCGTTGTCTAGGGGGTCTTATAGGCAGTTGAGGGTTTTTCTAGAACATGAAAAAACTTAGGGGTGTGGACTTGTTAAGTGGTCCCTGAATATTAAAAATTAACCTAACGTAAGGAATTTCCTGCCTTGATTTCTCTCTGGGACACCGGCGCCTTGATCCGGGAGCACATCAAAAGGCTGCCTGCCCAGCCCCCAAGGTGGGCCGAGGTATTGTCTACTTGCTAAAGAATCCTGCCTCTTGAACTTCCTGGGTGTTAAAATGCAATCTTATCCTTAAGATGGAATTCTTCCTGCCTTTTACCATGCCGTCTACAGCTGGGTCTGCATGCTAAGTTAGTTGCTCAGTTTGCAGAATCACCTCGTCAGATTTGAAGGAGGAAAGGCAGCGCATAGGCCTGAGCCTTTTAGCTAAAGTGAATCTTACACATGGTTACAAATGATTAGCATAATAAAATCTGCTACTCTTCTTTATCTGGGGAACATTAACTGATTTCACTGAAGAATGATTCTAGAGCTCAATGTTTAACATAGAATTTTAGCAGGGGGGGTTTCCTTGCATGTAGTTACATTGCTCTGACTGCAAATATCCCACACTGCCCCCTCCAGAGGCCCTCACCCTACTCTGACTACATCCATGGGCCCTGTCTCATTAAGATACAAGAAAGGCATATGATATAAATTCCAAATAGTTTGCTGTTTGAGTTCTGGAAAGAGAGAGAAACTTGCCTAAGGTGATGAGGGAATCTGTTACAGAAATGGAGCTAGAGATTATTTTAGCAGCCAAAGCAAACCATTTAACTGCTCTGCAGTGCCAAGAAACCCTTACTTATTTTGTCTTTTCTTATCCCTGATCCATCCCTAGAAAAAGATTAACAGTTGAATATTTTCTATTAATAATACTATATACCATAGTCAATCCTCACCTCTGTGGGCCAAATATGATGCTACTTTTTCAGATGAGGAAGTTGAAGATCAGTGTGATTAACAGCCTAAGAGAAGGAATCAAGTTGACCCACATACCTTTCCTACTAAGCCCATGCTCTTTAAGCAAACCGAGACGTCCAAAACTGGTGGGATGGCTCCTTCTAGGCGAGGGCCTGTTGGATTCAGTTGGAGGTAGTAATCCAGTGTTAGTTTTCTTTATCACCCAGAAAAGAGGGCCAACACTGACCATTGACTAAGAGTCTTAGTAAAACTAAAACCCTAGTTTGCGTTGGAGTGGTCTGCACTGATCTCCGGATGGGAGTGTCTAATCATGGCAGAAATGAGACCTTTTATAAGCAGAGGAAGGAAATACAAGAATATTCTCAATACTGCTTTTCATTTTTTAAGGAATCTGCTTTCTACTTTGTTGTTTAATCACATCCTCCTTTTTTCTCCTTAAATTTTTTATTTCCTGTGTAATGTGCTTGTTAGCCACACCACTATAGACTAAGAAGACACTCATCCGTTCTTTATAACTCTGTAACAGTTGTGGTGCAAGGTTGGATACAGAATTTTTCAACTGTTGGCTAGTATCAGTTGTGAGGATTATCTGGATTTCAGTTAATTCATTTGATTTATTCCTCCTGTTAAGGGTTGACTTTTTTTTTTTTTTAACTATCGTTTCAAAATTGGGGCCTAAGTATGACCAAGATCAGGAATGGAAGCCTTAAAGCTAAGGTTTCATAGGTGTGATCTCTTCATCTCTATCTTACAATGGTAGCAAATGGATGGCGTGATTTGTGAGCACATCAAGTTCTAATAGTTCCTCATGGTCTTTATTTCTGAAATAGTTCATTGGTGTGAAAGTGTTCTGAAAAATTACTGGGAAAATACTTGTATTCCACTTTTAAAGAACAGTCACTGAAAACATTTCATATTAGTAAAAAAATCACTAATACATATTTTATTCGAATATAAAATTGACTTAAAGTAGTTCTTATTTTGGACTTTGAGTTTTTATTTTTACCTGTTATTTTTATTTGTGCTTTAGAACCCAGGCATACTTGGGAAAAGGAATACCCTGGATACTAATAAAAATATTTCCTTGTCACTGATCTGCTGAGTTAGTACAATTTTGCTTTCTGTGTTGTACCTGGATATCAGAACTCTGGGTGTTTTACTGTTCATCAGCAACCCGAGACTGGTTTTAAAAGACTTATCATTTCAATTTCTAGGACAGTATTTGCACTCAACCGCAATACTCAGTAAATATTTGCCTCCCCCAATACCCAATTTTTAACTCTTGCTAGTGTATTTGCCAAAAATGCATAATATATAATAGCTTTGAGGTACCATATATTAAGGCAGCATCATCTTTTTATTTTAGAAATCTTGACTGTACTCAGATTTTAAAATAAACTTTACTTTTGTGTTCAGAATCTTCTTTGCATATGACATTGATGAAGGATAGCAAAAATGTATGCAGAGAAGATACACTAAACTTCTCAGGGTTCATCATATGCACTGTTTCAGTGTAAAATCCTGCAGATGTCATGTGCATACGATATTCAGCATGCTTAAATGCAATATGAAAAGGCTTCTGATGTGCCTCGGATGATGTCCCATTCTGAGTCTTTGAGTGCTTGTAATCTGCTAGAACTTTATGCTTCTAGCTTTTAAAGTTTCTAGCTCATAAAAGTTTCTACCATGCCTTTTTAAAAAATGGATTATAAAAGTTATAAGTAATATATAAATCTGTTCTCATTGTTTCTATGTTTTATAATACAAAATTACGTTGAGTACCATATGAACTTTTCCTCTTCGGGCTCCCAACCCCACAGCCCGTTTCTTACAGAGTTTGAGTTTGGTGACTTTTCTTCCAGAACTTTACTTGTCTTCCCAGACATGAATGTGTTTATATTTCACGGGGCCTTTTCCCCCTTGCTGTGTGACCTTCCCCACCAATTTCTCATCAGCTGTATTAGCAGGAGCTGCTTGCTTGCCATATGGTACAATACTTTCAATGCCTCCTTCCTCCAACCTAACTTTAGAAGTCAGCTTGTGGATGGACAGGATGGACAAGAGATTTCCCTTTTTGGTGTTGGAAGGAAGAGGCACTCCTGCCATCTGCTGGGTTACCAACCTCTATGGAGTTACTTCTTCCAACTCCCAGAGCTACAGCAATTTACGTTTAAGGCAATGCCATGCAAATAACGCACATCTCTGCCCTTGTCCTCTCTCCCAATTACAGCACTATACCCCCCCCCAAAAAAAAAACAGTCCCACTCACAAAGAAGCAGCTTTCTTTCTGTATCTACGTGTTATTTTGAGATGGGAGAAGGGCTGGGAGAGGACTAGAAAGAAGAAAATATCCCTTGGGAAGGGCTGGTGTCATTTCTTTGACTGCTCACTTCAAGGCTGAGTACACCTGTCAGTGAATGCCTCGGTTGAGCTCTGGGAAGGGCAAAGAATGAGGCGTCTGGAAGCAAGCATAGACATATTTTCTCA